TGTAACAAGGGGGTAATGTGGCAGATGTTGCAAATGAATAGAATAGGAGGTAGGTTATAGAAAGCAGTGAAAAGCTTTTACTAGGATAGTGAAGCTTAGGATAGAGTATGTAGTAGAGAGGGAGATTATTTCCTAGTAAAAATAGGCTATAGACAATGATGTGTGATGTCACCGTGGTTGGTCAATATATTTATAGATGGGGTTGTAAGAGAAGTGAATCTTTGTTAGTTGGCAAGAGGTTTGTAGTTAAAAGATAAAGAACACAAAGCAGGAGTCGTCACAGTTGCTCTTTTCCTGATGACACTGTGCTTTTGGGAGATTCTGAAGAGAAGTTACAGAGATTGGTGGATGAGTTTGGTAGGGTATGTAAAATTAAATTGAAAGAGTATATAGGAAAGAGTAAGGTGAGGATAACAAAAAATTAGGTAATGTAAGACTGGATATCAGGTTGGAGGTAGAGAGTATGGAGGAGGTGAATGTATTCTGATATTTAGAAGAGGATGTGTCAGCAGATGGGTCTATGAAAGATGAGGAGAAACATTAAATTGACGAGGGGAAAAAGGTGAGTGGTGCACTGAGGAGTCTGTTGAGACAAAGAACTTTGTCCATCGAAGCATAGAAGGGAATGTATGAGAGTATAGTTATATCAACGCTCTTATATGGGTGTGAAGCATGGGTGGTGAATGTCGCAACAAGGAGAAGGTTGGAGGCAGTGGAGATATCGTGTCTGAGGGCAATGTGTGGTGTGAATATAATGTAATAAAGTTGGTAGAATTACCGACAATATGTAAAGTAAAAGGACACAAGTGCACCTAATGTGACATTTTATTGTGGCAACGTTTCGCTCTCCAGGAGCTTTGTCAAGCCGTTGACAAAGCTCCTGGAGAGTGAATATAATTCAGAGAATTTATAAAGGTGATAAAGGCGATAAAGGAGGTTTTGTGTGCAAGCATGTGTGAGCGTGTTACATAGAAGCAAATGGAGACAAATGGTTATTAGGACATGACATGGTAATATTTATGAAGGGATTCAGGGAAACTGACAGGCCGGACTTGAGTCCTGGAGATGGGAGGTACAGTGCCTGCACTCTGAAGGAGGGGTGTTAATGTTGCAATTTTATAACTGCAGTGTAAGCATGCCTCTGGCAAGACAGTGATAGAGTGAATGATGGTGAATGTTTTTATTTTCCAGGCCACCCTATCATGGTGGGAAACGGCTGACGTGTTAATACAAAAATAAATATGAATAGACTAAATGGTGGAGGAGGTCCTCGAACCGTGGTGAATAAATTGAGTCCGACACCACCCATGCTTCACACCCATATATGAACATTGGTACCGCTCTACTTTTCACATTCCCCTCTTTGCTTTCTTTATCTACGCACACTGTTCCACTCAACTTTTACCTGCCATCAATTCTATTATTTACCTCGTCTTTCACAGACCCTTCTGCTGACAGGTTCACTTCAACACAACTGAATACATTCACGTCCCCCGTACTCCATCCCTTCAATCTGATATTCAGTCTTTCATTGCTTAATTTTTTTTTATTTTCATAACCCTGCCCTTTCCTTCATGCACTTCAAATTTTCTATTCTTTTCATTCCCATCCAAACTTGTTCACCAATCTTTGCAACTTCTCCTCAGAATCTTCCAAAAGCACAGTGCCATCAGCAAAAAGCAACTGTGACAACAACTCCCAATTTGTGTTAGATTCTTTATCTCCTAATCGCACACATCTTGCCAACACCTGAATATCCACTTCTCTTACAACCTTATCTACAATTATATGGTGATATCACGCACCACATATCCTTGGCCTGCTTTTACTGGAAAATAATCTCCCTCTCTCCTACTTACTCTAACCTGAGCCTCACTATCCTCATAAAAGCTCTTAACTGTTTTTAGTAACCTACTACCTATAACACTGCCACATTACTCTCCTATCCACACTATCATATGCCTATTCCAAACTCATAAATGTAACGTAAACGAACATGAACGGACACATCACCAAACTTGAAAAAATCAAATACTGTTATGCAGTCTTGTAACACTTCGTTGTATTTATAAAAAAAAAAAAAAAAAAAAAAACAGGAGCTGCATTTTAAGAAATTTTTCGATTCCGGTCGAAATTAAGCTAAATTTCACATATTTCAATGCACTTAATGTTTCTTAAGTTGTTATTAATTTTTATGATCACAATTACTGTATATTCTGTTTTAAATATTCAATTATAATGTAAGAAAAATTATGAATAAAAAGGCACATTACCGTGACTGGACTATACACAAATAACTCACAAACAAAGTCCAGGTTCGATTACCGGCAAGGGTAGAAACACTGTGCGTGTTTCGTGACACCGGTTGTTTATGTTTGTTCCCCATCAGTAAAACAGGTACCTGGGTGTTAGTCGACTGGCGTGGGTCGCATCCTGGGACAAAACTGATTTAATTTACTCGAAATGCTCTGCATAACAAGGGGCTTTCTGTATAGTAGTATGTCAGGTAGGCCGGTATACCTTGTACATGTACTTGAAGAAACAAAGTAATAATTTATTATTATTATTATTATTATTATTATTATTATTATTATTATTATTATTATTATTACCATCATTATGACTAGTCACACTACTACTGTCATTAATTAATGGTCTTAGTCGGACCGAAATGTCATTATAAGTTTCATTCTCCTATTTTCAGGCTATTTGTTTAAGAAAAACTATTTATTTTTAAAAAAGTTATTTGCGCTAGTACCCATGAGCACTGCGCCTCAGCCATAGTGTAGGGGTACGCATAAAATTTGTCAAATTACTGCCCATACACTTTAGTAACAATGGAAACTTTTCTCTACATAATCTAGAATACATCAGTACTGAAGGTTTGAAGCCGATTAGAAGAGGCATTCGCAAGTTATGGTAGGGAAATCAACATGAAAGTTTTGACAAAATAATTGAAAAATTGTCATTTCAAAATTAATACGATCTATCCTCTAATATTAAGTTGAAGACCATCAGAAAGAGTTCCCCATTTGCTCAGTTACTAAAAAAAAAAAATAGTGTAATTGAGGTTTTATGAATAAAGACTGATAAATAAAACGTACCTGAGTACTAGGTTGGTAGACAGCAACCACCCAGGAAGGTACTACCGTCCTGCCAAGTGAGTGTAAAACGAAAGCCTGTAATTGTTTTACATGATGGTAGGATTGCTGGTGTCCATTTTTCCGCTTCATAAACATGCAAGATTTCAGGTACATCTTGCTACTTCTACTTACACTTAGGTCACACTACACATACATGTACAAGCATATATATATATACACACCCCTCTGGGTTTTCTGTTATTTTCTTTTTTAGTTCTTGTTCTTGTTTATTTCCTCTTATCTCCACGGGGAAATGGAACAGAATTCTTCATCCATAAGCCATGCGTGTTGTAAGAGGCGACTAAAATGCCGGGAGCAAGGGGCTAGTAACCCCTTCTCCTGTATAAATTACTGAATTTCAAAAGAGAAACTTTTGTTTATCTTTTTGGGCCACCCTGCCTCGGAGGGATACGGCCGGTATGTTGAAAGAAAGAACTAAAACGTAGTCATTGTGGCTGTATAAAAACCGCCAGATGCAACTTACCAACAGTTTAATGAACAATTATGAATTTTTTTTACTATCTTGAAAGGGTTCCAACTCCAGCCTTAAATATCTTGCTGCTTTGTGATTTCAATTTAAGACACAAAATAGAAGCATGCAGTAAATATTGTTATAACAGAGACAATCCCTGAGAGCAGCTCAGACGAAAAACTTTCAGTTAAATAAATTAAGAAGGAAAATAAGTAAGAAAGTAATTATGTTTCATCTGAGTTTTGCTTACATAACAAAAATTTTGTATATAATGGCCTATAGTACACATAAATCTTATAGTTATACAGAGGCACATAATGTTAATTTACCCTGGGGTTAACTCAATAAAGTTACACAATTGCTGATGATCGAGAGAGATATTCTCCAGATATGTCACAGGAACAAGTTTAATCGGTAAAATTAACACATTATAATTTACTCAGCCTAAAATCAAGAAAGTTTCCTCAGGGAAGACACATCAGCCGAGCACAAGATACATTCTCCAGTTATTGCACAAAATAATATTTTGGGCTATACCCCAAAATATTATTTCATCCATTTTATGTAACTCCAGATGTCCTTCACAGGAAAGCTCTAAGCTCGTAGGGGTTACATAGTGCCTGTGTAATGGGCAGAAATAAGATTTTTCGTAACTTTGCTACGAAAAAAACACACTCGGGTAAAACGCTTGTTGAGGGTCAGAAGAAACATTCACGAGTACGATATCCAACAATTCCAAGTTTTATAAACTAGTTACATTATTGACAAGATGCAATAACTATTAATTTTTGAAGCCATTCAGGTGAGGAACATTCAAATGATTTTAAAGTGATTAAACGGGAATCAATATTTCACATTATTTTACACATAAAATTGGCCGAAGTGAACTTACTGAATATCACTCTCTGCTGTCTTGGAGTTAAGGGACATTACTTTCTAATGTTTAAAATTATGTCGTCAAGGGCTTGGAAATTTTCGGAGCCAGTCTAAAAAGCTGGAAAGGGTTCAACAAATCTGGTCTTGGGGAATCTGCAAATGACAACTGTTTCAAGAATCTTGTCCTTAGTTCCATTCACCAGAGTTGAGAAATTTGAAGCAAAATAAACACTCTAAGTTGAAAGAATAGAAAATAAAATAGAAAGAAATCTGGAAACCACATATACGGTCCCTCATAGGGGATACCTAATAATAATAAAATAATGTTAAGTTATATGTGGAAAGTAAATATTGCCTCACGATTCATGAGGCGGTAAGCTCGTGTGGGACATTCAGCGCAATGAATGAAGTCTCGAATCTTTGCCACCAAATCTGTGACCAGTCAGGGTGTTTGTGCTTGACGACGATCCATTATGATAAAGAAGCAACAAGTGGAGACATGTACTTACATTTAACCTGCAACAGGATGGGATTGGAGACACCCTGGCCCTCAGTGTTGCTTGCTCTGCAGGTGTAACTGCCCGAAGTATAACGCTCCACCTTCTGCAGTACTAGACTCATGTTGGACACCACAACCACCCCGCTGCTGCTGATGCTGCTACTACTGCTACTATTGACTCCAAGTTGCTCACTCTGTGTGGTAGACAATGTAGGGTGTAGTGTGAGGAAGATCACGCAGGGTGAGTGAAAGAAGCAGTATTGGGGAGGAGAGAAATGTCAGAAGGAAGAGGAGTGAATATTTTGGATGTTAGAGTCATGAATAAGAATGTGTGGGACTGTGAAAGGAAATTCCAAGAGGAAAACAGGCCTTTCACGGGTAAATGAGAAGATGGGTAAACGTCAGAACAGTGTGAACGGGGGCAGGAAGATGGGAGGATTTTGGAAGGCCAGAAAACATAAATAATAATTATCGTTATATTATTATTATTATTATTATTATTATTATTATTATTATTATTTTCTTCTTCGTCTTCTTCTTCTTCTTCTTCTTCTTCTTATTATTATTATTATTATTATTATTATTATTATTATTATTATTATTAATAGTAATATTATTATTATTATTATTATAATTTCTACAAAGAGGCTGTCTCACATCGAGGCAGGGTGACGCAAGAAAGAGAAACACGTTCACCATCGCTCACTTCATCACTGTCTTCTCAGAGAGCCGCCGATAATACATTTCGAAACTGCAAATATCCCCATTCCTCCTTCAGAGTGTAGACACAACTTCCCACCTTTAGGACTTATGCCCGGCTAACCGGTTTCCTTGAATTCCATCATAAATGTTACCTTGCTCACATTCCAACATCACATTAAGTTATGAAAATCTTTTGCTTCGACTCTTTCCAACGTAAGATGCTCACATGCGCTTGCTGGAAGTGTAAGCCCTATGTACACAAAACCACCTTTAACCCTTCCCTCCATCTCTTTCAAGGACGACCCCTACTATGCCCTCCCTTCAATACAGATTTATGGGCATTCCAACTCATTCTGTTTTCTTCCATCCTTCCTAAATGTCCGAAATACCTCAAGACGCGTCTTCAGCAGCCCTCTGGATAACTCTTTCAGTAACCTCCTTCAAATCTGCAAGCTGCGGATTGTCTGCATAATGTTCAAACCACACACTGACCTCCAGCCTGCTCATTGTTGCAACATTCGGGACCGATGCTTCACACTCACATACTCTCACACAATCCCCTCTTTGCTTCCATGGATAATGTTCTTTGTCTCCACAGACAATGCACCACTCATCTTTTTTCCCTCATCAATTCTATGGCTCACCTCGTCCTTCATAACTTATTTGCTGACAAGTCCACTCTCAAATATCTGAACACATACACTTGCTTCATACTCCCTTCCATCTGATATTTAATCTTTCAATATCTAAATTGTTATCCTCATTATTTAGTTCTTTCCAATGTTCACTTTTAATTTTCTTCTTTTACATTCTCTCCCAAATTCGTCCATCAACCTCTACAACTTCTCTTCATAATCATTAAAAAGCACAGTGTCATCAGGAAAAAAGCAGCTTGCACCACTCCCAATTTGTGTTAGATTCTTTATTTTCCAATCCCAAACCTCTTCCCAACCCCCCTTCATTCACCTCTCCTGCAACCCCATCTATGAATTTAATAAACAACCATAGTGACTTCAGGCAACCTAGTATAAGCTCTACCTTTAATGGAAAATAAACTAAGTCTCACTATCACACACTTGCAACATCTGCTACATTGTCCCTCCTATCCACTCCATCATTTACCTTTATCAAATCTATAAGTGTAACGGAAACCTTTCTAACCTATCTAAATACTGTTCAATTATAAGCTTTGCTTTAAACACTTGGTCTACAAATCCATTACCTTTCATAAAACCTCCTTGTTCATTTGCGATCCTGCTCTCCATCTTACATTGAATTCTTCTAATAATGACTCTTCCACACACCCTACTAGGTATACCCAAAAGACTTATTCCTCTATAATTCTTACTCTCTTTTGTTCCATTTGCTGTTATAAAAGGAACTGTGCATGTTCTCTGCCAAACTTTGCATACATAAATTTATTAAAGAAAAGTACCAACCCATCCAAAACCATATTCTCCTGCTTTCAACATCTCTGTCTTGATCCCATGCATCCCAGCTTCTTTATCCCACTTCATTTTATCCACAGCCTCGCACACTTTCCCAGCACACCTGGCTCTTCCTCACTCCTATAAGATGTTATATCTCCCTGCCCAGTGCATGAAATCACAGCTTCTCTCTCTTCATAAACATTTAACAGTGCCTCAGAATATTCCCTCCGTTTTCCTAATACTTCCAACTCCCCATCTATTAACTCTCCTCTTCTGTTTTTAACTGTTAAATCCATTAGTTCCCTTCTTAACTTATTAATTTCCCTCCAAAACTTTGTCTTATTCTCAGTTCTTCAACCACTCTTTCATTTGCTCTTTTTTCACTTTCCCTTCCCACTCTCTTAACCTCTCTGATTCTTCAAAATTATTTCCACCCCTTCCTTAGCCATAATCTTCTCAGATACACCTGACCTACTCCCACTTGTATCTAATCAATGAAAATCCTTTTTCCTATTCGCCTTTGTTTCAATTATTAGTAATTCTTTTTATTGTTATTAATATTCACAACTAAAACCTAACCAAGCAGTAGTAATGTAGCATCTGGCTAATTATTGGGTCTTTATAAACTGGAATTACTATAATTTTTGACAGATTCTCTTATTTTTTCGAGGTTTACTTATAATAACTTGTGAAAGTTTTTTCTGTTAGGTTTTAAAGTTTCATGTTCAACAATCATAGAGAATGGTTGCCAATTTACCTATTTTATAAATTAAAAATGCACAACGGTGTCGGTAAGATAACAGAAGAACGTCCCTCCTATCACCTTCAAAGTTATAAAAGTAGTGGGTTCACTTTGTGTAAGGGTTCTCTTTGCGTTAGGGTTCACTTTGCCTAAGAGTCGCTGTTTGCGGCTTGTTGGCCAATTTTTAATGGATATTTTTCGAGCGACTTAAAACTTTACAGGTTTATGCCGCAACCGTGAAGCAAATTTCTCAGAATTTTTAATCTGCATTTGAGCAAATTTGTTAATTATCTAATAAAATTTAAAAATAGTGATTATGCGTTACTATGTGATAACTTGAAAATTTTGGTTCTGATCATTTGCAAGTTTCAACACTAATGCATTTTACAGTGAGGCTCCGCCTTGGCTGTGTTGATGACAGTTTACTCAATGTTGTTTTAACCTTAAAACTTTTGTAGTTCTCACAGATCTTTGAGACCTTCGCCTGCCAGGTCTTAAGACAGTAAATGTATTTCGTTGGCTATGCGATTCGAGGAAGGTATTCATTTTATCCCATAAATTCAACTCCGTTTACCTTAATAAGCACACAAGATGCAAGGTACTTGAGCCACAACACGCCCCAGGATAACGAAGCTTTAGCTGAACTTCCTGAAGAGACCAGAAGGTATTGCTCAACTCTCCTCAAGTAGAGTTGCAAGTGGAGAGAGTAACAGGAGTTGAATGGGAAAAGCCAGACTATAAAAGAGGGGACTAAAAAGGGCTGAGGAACTTCCTGCAGGAGGTTCAGTGGGACAGAAAACTGGCAGGAAAGCCAGTAAATGAAATGATGGAATATGTAACAACAAAATGCAAGGAGGCAGTGGAAAGGTTTATTCCCAATGGCAACAGAAGCAATGGGAAGACCAGAACGAGCCCCTGGTTTACCCGACGGTGTAAGGAGGCAAAAACAAAGTGAAATAGACAATGGAAAATGTACAGAAGGAAGAGAACGCATGAAAATAGGGAGATTAGTCGCAGAGCCAGGAACGAGTATGCACAGGTAAGGAGGGAGGCCCAGCGACAGTATGAAAATAACATAGCATCGAAATTCAAGACTGACCCGAAACTGTTGTATAGCCACATCAGGAGGAAGACAACAATCAAAGACCAGGTGATCAGACTGAGCACAGAAGGTGGAGAACTCACAAGAAATGATCAGGAGGTATATGAGGAGCTAAACAGGAGATTTAAGGAAGTTTTTACAGTAGAGACAGGAAGGGCTCTGGGAAGACAGCACAGAAGGGAATATCAAGAGGGAATATACCAACAAGTGAGGAGGAGATGCAGAAGCTGCTAAGTGACTTTGATACCTCAAAGGCGATGGGACCGGACATCTCCCCGTGTGTTCTTAGAGAAGGAGCAGAGATGCTGTGCGTGTCCCTAACCACAATCTTCAACACATCCCTTGAAACTGGGCAACTACCTGAGAAATGGAAGACAGCAAATGTAGTCCCCAAAGGAAACAGAAATGAGGCACTAAACTACAGGCCTGTGTCTCTGACATGTATTGTATGCAAAGTCATGGAGAAGATTATCAGGAGGAGAGTGGTGGAACACCTGGAACGGAACAAGATTATAAATGAAAACCAGCATGGGTTCATGGAAGGCAAATCCTGTATCACAAACCTTCTGGAGTTTTATGACAAGGTAACAGAAGTAAGACACGAGAGAGAGGGGTGGGTTGATTGCATTTTCCTAGACTGCAGGAAGGCCTTTGACACAGTTCCCCAGAAGAGATTAGTGCAGAAGCTGGAGGATCAGGCGCATATAACAGGGAGAGCACTGCAATGGATCAGGGAATACCTGACAGGGAGGCAACAACGAGTCATGGTACGTGAAGAGGTATCACAGTGGGCGCCTGTGACGAGCGGTGTCCCACAGGGGTCAGTTCTAGAACCAGTGCTATTTTTGATATATGCGAACGACATGATGGAAGGATGATGTGAAGCAGATGATGTGAAGCTGATGAGAAGAATTAAATCGGATGAGGATGAGGCAGGACTGCAAAGAGACCTGGACAGACTGGACATGTGGTCCAGAAACTGGCTTCTCGAATTCAACCCTGCCAAATGCAAAGTCATGAAGATTGGGGAGAGGAAAAGAAGACCGCAGACAGAGTATAGGCTAGGTGGACAAAGACTACAGACCTCACTCAGGGAGAAAGACCTTGGGATGACCATAACACCGAGCACGTCACCGGAGGCACACATCAACCAAATAACTGCTGCAGCATACGGGCGCCTGGCAAACCTGAGAATAGCGTTCCCATACCTTAATAAGGAATCGTTCAAGACACTGTACACTGTGTATGTTAGGCCCATATTGGAGTATGCAGCACCAGTCTGGAACCCACACCTGGTCAAGCACGTCAAGAAGTTAGAGAAAGTACAAAGGTTTGCGACAAGGCTAGTTCCAGAGCTCAGGGGAATGTCGTACGAGGAAAGGTTGAGGGAAATCGGACTGACGACACTGGAGGACAGAAGGGTCAGGGGAGACATGATAACGACATACAAGATTCTGCGGGGAATAGACAAGGTGGACAGAGATAGGATCTTCCAAAGAGGGGACTCAGAAACAATAGGTCACAGCTGGAAGCTGAAGACTCAGACGAGTCACAGGGTCTTTAAGAAGTATTTCTTCAGTCATAGAGTCGTCAGGAAGTGGAATAGCCTAGCAAGTGAAGTAGTGGAGGTAGGAACCATACACAGTTTTAAGAAGAGGTATGACAAAGCTCAGGAAGCAGAGAGGGAGAGGACCTAGTAACGATCAGTGAAGAGGCGGGGCCAGGAGTTGAGTCTCGACCCCTGCAACCACAATTAGGTGAGTACACACACACACTCACACATCAACCCCTCAGGGAGGTACTACCGTCCTGCCAAGTGAGTGTGAAATGGAAACCTGTAATTGTTTTACTAGAAGAAAGGATTCCTGGTGTCTTTCTTTTCTGTCTCATAAACACGCGGGATGCCAGTTATATCTTGCTACTTCTACTTGCACTTAGGTCACACTACACACACACACACACACACACATACACACACACACACACACATACACACACACACATACACACACACACATACGCACACACACACACACACACACACATATATATATAATATATATATATATAATATATATATATATATATATATATATATATATATATATATATATATATATATATATATATATATATATATATTTTGTGGTATTTGAAAAGAGGCTAGAATTATGGGATCTAATTGTGCTAGATTCTGAAAGCGTACATATGAAATGCCGGCTTAATGAGTTTCGTGCAATCATTATTCATTAAACTTTAAAAAAAGTAACTAATTAGTCCAAGTTTAATCATCCTGGCAGCTGACATACAATAACCCTGATTATCTTATCTATATTTTTACCTTGGGCTAACTTGCATTGACTTGCATTTCGTCTGAATGTAATGCCCAATGTTAATGTCTGTTTATTCTCAATGTCTATTTATTCTCAATAGCTAAAGGCAAATTTTATCCATTGAAATATAAAAGACTCAGCTACGTAAGACTACGATTGCATCATATGTCTTGAATTTCTGTGAAATTTATGTAAGATTGAAACTCGACAGAAGGAACATTGAATGTTTTCCTTTCGGAACATTCACCACTGAGGTCACCATCCCGTTCAAGGCAAATATTCACAAAAAAAAAAATCATGTATTTCAAAATAACTATTTACATTTCCTTACAATAGATTTAAAAATACAGACGAATTACGGTAGAAGAAAGATATGTGGAAGTTTCCATTATCACATACAGGGAAATATCGCCCATACACATCCCCAGCCTCTGTCTCTCAGTGATCTGAGAGAGGTATCCCCTGCATCTCATAATCAGAGTCCCCTGTATGACAATAATCTGGGAGAGGTATCCCATGTACTTTACTGATACTAGAGGGATTCTCAGTTTCTGTAGTGTCTCTTTTCAAATAAAGGAAATTCCACTTACAAAGCCTAATAAAAATCCAAATCTTCTTCTAAGATACATAGGTAATATAAGTTTGACGCCGATCAGAAGAGTCGTTAGCGAGAAATCGTACGGAATCCCTAAATTAAGGATAAAAAAAATCTGACCGTCGGGAATAACGAAATATTTATCTAAGCATCACTGCTGTTACTGCTGATAAATACCTTCATAAATGTTAACATTGTTTATTAGTTAGTGACATCTGGTGGATGACTTGAGCACTAAGAGAAGACTTGTAAGTTTTGAGGACAAGCAGTACCCACAAGTTGATGTGTTAGAAACATTTGCAACACTTGGATTTTTCACTGAAGACACGTTTCGCCTACACAGGAGGATTTTTCAGTTTAATAAAGTCTCTCACCGTAAGTAGGCGAAACGTCAACAAAATTAAGGTACCTAGATGTTGCACATGTGTCTGATTTACCAACTTGTCCATAATACATTACTTGTCATACACAGCAGCATCGTGAAATTTCGGTGCAGAGGACAGTTCCACAACCTACTTGCTGACCTCTGGCCCAACTCCTGGGCATGACTTACTGGTGGATCCCACATACCCGTAACAATGTCTTTATCTGCTGCACCTCCTCTAACTCCAGTGTATTACAACCTGTTTACTTGCTTGTGCTTCAGATTCATGAAATCGCGGTGCTCAGCACCTATGCTGAGAGACTGATTATCCCTTCTTCTGTCTTTCTTTTACGTCCCAGTATTGTATTAATGAACCCATTGGAAGCAAAACATCAACAAAATATAAAAAATATCCACATCTTGCACGTGTGCCTAATTCATAAGCGATGGCTACGTACATCTGTGAGGGGCTACCAGCAACAGTTCGCTAGATCTAGTCATTAAGCGTGAGTAGGTTCTTCATTTAATTGGATTTAAAAAGCTCCTAGAGTGCCAGAGAATCAAATCACTTGTTCACTACCAGTCAACAATATTTAAGCCTTAGAATATAAATATTATAAACTCTTACAAAATATAACCCGAAAGAGATATTCCTCTAGGCGTATATATCCTCTATGGGTAGAAAAACCCACGTAACTTATTACAAATGTGTTAAAACTGTATCAGATAATGACATAATATATAGAAAACACATAGAAACTGCTATTAAACTTCGAAGTAGTTTTTTTGTATAAATGCCATCAAATTATTTTATATGTATAAGAATAGTGTATAAAAATACTGTAAGTATGAGTATTTTGCAACCTTAAATATTTAGCATGTAAGTCACAACTGATTCACAATGCACAAATTGACAAAAGATGCCAAACGCAATTTAGATTCTTCCGAAAACCGTTTGATTTCCCAGCGTAATAATGGTGTAATTTTAACTCCAATTAGTTGGTTAATTGTGACTATGTACAACAGCATGTGGATACGTTACAGCAGCACAAGTTGTGATACTAGTGGTCGACTGAAATGTGGAACAGTAACTTTAGTGTAACTAGGAATGTCAGATGCTCTGCAGTACCTGTGGATGTTTGAGGTGCTTAATGATAACTAACCCTGTAAGTGGGTATAATAAGTTCTCACAAGTGGTTTCCTGATGCGTCTGATAGGAGTAGAGACAAGTAACATTTTTGAAAAGATTCAGGGAAACCGGGTAGCCAGATATGTGTCGTGGAGATGGAAAGTAAAGTGTGTTCACTCTGAACGAGGGGTGGGGAGACTGGCAGCTTCTAACTGTAGTATCAGCGCCCCTCTGGCAAGACAGTGAAGGAGTGAGCGATGGTGGCAGTGTTCCAGACATTAAATGATATCATATAGTGACATCATTTGATGTCTTAATTATGAATGGATAACTACAGAATAACTCGGAATAGTGGACAAAAGCATTTGATTATTAACCCTGTCTACAAATAATTGCAAACAAATTTTACAGTCATTAGAAAAAAAAAAATCTTTCTGTCCCGTGTTGTTCGTCTTAGTTTTAAACAGCAATATAAGATGTGAACAGTGTACCTGATGATGTCAAGGCCGATCATAGTATAAATCACTTAAGACTACGGCTAAAAATTATGTATTAAATGAAATCCAGAGAGAAAATTTATTTTTTTTTATCTCTAACTTAATCATAACTGCTAGGAGTCAATATTGTAACATAGATCAGAGTTATATATTGTATAATACATCATATCCTTACTGATTTTTTATGAGTATTAATGCCAGTTCTTTTTTTTTATTATGTTTAATATTATGCTTAGTTTTATGTTTAATATTATCCAAGTATTTGTGTCATGACATGTGACATGCAGTTAGGACGGCAACTGATATGTGTAGCACTCACTTTATTGGCTACAGTGTCTGCATGCCCTCTTAATGGACGAACAAATTAATACTACTGTCTGTAAGTTTATTTATAAATTTCCTGATAAAAGCTAACCTTTGCTTGTGGTATCTTACTCACGTTGTGGTACCAGAAGACGGCAGTAGGAGCGGGAAGGGCAGAGACGGAGCAGGTGAAGTACACGTCCATACCTTCCTTGATGTCGTGCAGCTGGAGGCGTGAATCCAGGCTGATGTGCACCTCTGGAACGTCTGAAGAAATAGCTGGTTAACGTGCAGCTCTGGAAGTAGATGGCTCGTAAGTCAGTAGTAGTGCCATTGACTCACATATGACAGAGAAGGCATGTTTCCAAACCTTGATGTCATTGTTCACCTAACAATATAAGCATTTAGACCAGCGTATCTCAACCGGGGCTATTCGGAGCCTTAGGGTTCCGCGAGAGGTCACTAGGGGTAACAGTATAAGCATTTAGACCAGCGTATCTCAACTGGGGCTCCTCAGAGCCCTAGGGTCCTGCGAGAGGTCGCTACGGGTTCAGAGAGAAATAATGACAAAGGGCTAATCATACATAAATGCATTTTTGAGTCATTTGTGTGTTTTTTATATTCGTAATTTTTATATACACGTACGCCCTATTCTTGGAAAATTCTTAGGTATTATAATAAAGTCTTCAACCTGTTATATCATTTAAAAGTATAATTATTATAGGGAATACATTTACCGACGACTACACCGCACCAATGTGAATCAGCCTTTAGTGGCCACTGTACAGAATCTGCATGTGACGGAATCGTGTATCAAGTGACTCTCGAGTATATGACACATACATGGTCTTCATCAGTCCTGCCTGTGCTTCCTGGCGTGCAAGTACAGTTCTTCATTGACCCTTGTTATTTAAGAACATAAGAATGGTGGAACACTGCGAAAGGCCTACTGGCCCATACAACGGAGGTCCATATCAAAACCACCCCTTCCCAAAGCTACCCAAGAATTTACTCCCGTACCCACGACACCAGCCCCATCATTTAAGGATGTAATATGAATTTTAAAAATTTAATAAGTATTTGATTTTTTTTTTATGTTTTTCATATTACAGAAGTATCTGACCGTCCAATGTGGCGATTTTTGAAGAGGAAACATCCAGAAGGTAGTTATGCAGAATCACAATCTCCAGACAAACTTCACTGCACTAATACAACAAAGGGCACCAAAAAGATTTGTCTTTGCAATGAAAGTTACGTATCAATGGGATTTACATGGACTGGTGATCCTTCACATGGACTCACATTGACTGGTGATCCTTCAAATGAACTTCACATTGACTGGTGATCCTTCACATGGACTCACATTGACTGGTGATCCTTCACATGGACTTCACATTGACTGGTGATCCTTCACATGGATTCACGTTGACTGGTGATCCTTCACATGGACTCACATTGACTGGTGATCCATCACATGGACTTCACATTGACTGGTAATCCTTCACATGGACTCACATTGATCCTTCACATGGACTTCACATTGACTGGTGATCCTTCACATGGACTCACATTGACTGGTGATCCTTCACATGGACTTCACATTGACTGGTGATCCTTCACATGGACTTCACATTGGTGATACTTCACATGGACTTTACATGGACTGGTGATCCTTCACATGGACTTCACATTGACTGGTGATCCTTCACATGGACTGGTGATCATTCACATGAACTTTACATGGACTGGTGATCCTTCACATGGACTTTACATGGACTGGTGATCCTTCACATGGACTTTACATGGACTGGTGATCCTTCACATGGACTTTACATGGACTGGTGATCCTTCACATGGACTTCACATTGACTGGTGATCCTTCACATGGATTCACGTTGACTGGTGATCCTTCACATGGCTCCATGACTGGTGATCCATCACATGGACTTCACATTGACTGGTAATCCTTCACATGGACTCACATTGATCCTTCACATGGACTTCACATTGACTGGTGATCCTTCACATGGACTCACATTGACTGGTGATCCTTCACATGGACTTCACATTGACTGGTGATCCTTCACATGGACTTCACATTGGTGATACTTCACATGGACTTTACATGGATGGTGATCCTTCACATGGACTTCACATTGACTGGTGATCCTTCACATGGACTGGTGATCCTTCACATGGACTTTACATGGACTGGTGATCCTTCACATGGACTTTACATGGACTGGTGATCCTTCACATGGACTTTACATGGACTGGTGATCCTTCACATGGACTTTACATGGACTGGTGATCCTTCACATGGACTTCACATTGACTGGTGATACTTCACATGGACTGGTGATCCTTCACATGGACTTTACATGGACTGGTGATCCTTCACATGGACTTCACATTAACTGGTGATCCTTCACATGGACTTCACATTGACTGGTGATCCTTCACATGGACTGGTGATCCTTCACATGGACTTCACATTAACTGGTGATCCTTCACATGGACTTCACATTGACTGGTGATCCTTCACATTGACTAGTGATCCTTCACATTGACTGGTGATCCTTCACATGGACTTCACATTGACTGGTGATCCTTCACATGGACTTCACACTGACTGGTGATCTTTCACATGGACTTTACATGGAGTGGTGATCCTTCACATGGACTTCACATTGACTGGTGATCCTTCACATGGACTTCACATTGGTGATACTTCACATGGACTTTACATGGACTGGTGATCCTTCACATGGACTTCACATTGACTGGTGATCCTTCACATGGACTGGTGATCATTCACATGAACTTTACATGGACTGGTGATCCTTCACATGGACTTTACATGGACTGGTGATCCTTCACATGGACTTTACATGGACTGGTGATCCTTCACATGGACTTTACATGGACTGGTGATCCTTCACATGGACTTCACATTGACTGGTGATACTTCACATGGACTGGTGATCCTTCACATGGACTTTACATGGACTGGTGATCCTTCACATGGACTTCACATTAACTGGTGATCCTTCACATGGACTTCACATTGACTGGTGATCCTTCACATGGACTGGTGATCCTTCACATGGACTTCACATTAACTGGTGATCCTTCACATGGACTTCACATTGACTGGTGATCCTTCACATTGACTGGTGATCCTTCACATTGACTGGTGATCCTTCACATGGACTTCACATTGACTGGTGATCCTTCACATGGACTTCACACTGACTGGTGATCTTTCACATGGACTTTACATGGAGTGGTGATCCTTCACATGGACTTTACATTGACTGGTGATCCTTCACATGGACTTCACACTGACTGGTGATCTTTCACATGGACTTTACATGGACTGGTGATCCTTCACATGGACTTTACATTGACTGGTGATCCTTCACATGGACTTCACACTGACTGGTGATCTTTCACATGGACTTTACATGGACTGGTGATCCTTCACATGGACTTTACATGGACTGGTGATCCTTCACATGGACTTCACACTGACTGGTGATCCTTCACATGGACTTTACATGGACTGGTGATCCTTCACATGGACTGGTGATCCTTCACATGGACTTTACATGGACTGGTGATCCTTCACATGGACTTTATATGGGCTGCTCATCCTGAGAACTTAACTTTAAGAGAAGAACTTTGTAAGCTGTGGTCTGATCGTGCACTTAAGATGAGATTTACCGACCTGTCCCTGGACAAATTCTGGATTTCTGTGAAAGAAGATTTTTTCTGACATTCATAGGAAAACGGTAAATATATTGCTGAAGTTTTTAATCTCATACACGTGTGAACAAGCATTTTTTTATTAAACAAGTATCAAAAGCAAAAACAAATCGCCTTCTTTCAATTAAAGATGAAATCAGTGTGTGTTTATCTACAATTCGACCCTGAATTAAGTATTTGTGTACCAAAAGACAACCACAGTTTTCACATTAGAGAAGCAAGTTTAATTATTTCAATTTGCCTAATAAATAACATTTCGTTGACCCATATATTTGTTCATAAGACATTTTGCCTCAATTCATCTTATGCTTTTTCAACATTGTCACTAAACGATTTAATTACTGGAGAAGACATAATCTGTTTTCGTTCTGTTTATGTGTTTTATATGTTATGTCTATTTTTTTATAGATATGGATAATTCTTTGTGGGAATAAAAACCTCCGTATGTGATCTCTTGAATAAACAGTTTCATTTCACTTTTTTTTCGCATTGTCAATAAACTTGAGAAAAACTTAAGTTATTTTTGGCTTAAACCAGTTATCAGAAAAAGTACATTATATTTTCCTTGTGAACTTTAGGCTTATAAAAGCGAAACATATTAATAATGATAGATAATAATTTTATGTAGGGTCAAAAAAATTAATAATATGTAATATTTTTATGTAGAGGTTCCCTGAGGCATGAAATTGATTTCAAGAGTTCCGTAAGGGTAAAAAAGATTGAAAAACTCTGATTTACACGTAATTCGACTATAGTGGGTCGTATCCTAGGTGAAACTTGCTGTGTAAACTCCTTACATCTGCTGTCCCGGTTCAACCAGCAGTATATACTGAAGGTACCTGGGTGTTAGTGGACTGGTGTGTACGGTATCTGGGCTTCGAAAAGAACTGAAGAAATATAGCAGCCCTTATACTGAACGTGGAACTAAATATAGAAAAGTTGATAATGTAACGTTTTGGCTACACTCTACCTCATATACAATTGTTGGTCAAATAATTTCGACCCTAACAATTTCGACTCTAACAATGAAAAAAGAATATTAAAACTAAGAGCAACGTTTTTATCAAATAAATATTAATAATGGGCGCAGGTGCATACTGCTGAGAGTAATAAAGACACAGAGGTGCAGAGAAAGATTTAACATATCATTTATGTGCTCTGTGTAGAGCTTTAAATTTTTCTTAATAAAGCTAAACACAAAGCAAAACGTTGCTACAATAAAAGGTCGCTCTGCATCTGTATATATTTTTTTTAAATAACTGGTATTTATTATTACTAAAATTTAACATTAATAATTTTATAACAATGATGATTCCAATTAAAGTCTATTTCCTAGACATTTTACACTACATCAGCCGTTTACTATCAAGACAGGACTAAAGAAGGACGTTCAGCATCACACATTCAACAGTTGTTTAGTCAGAAGTGTAAGTACATTACAACTGCAATATTCCATTTCTCATTGAGAATGCAAACACTTTACTTGCGACCTCCAGGAA